CATGTGTAACTGGCTCTCCTTTCCTTGGGTATAGTTTTGACTTCTTCATGCTTTGTATTTTAGGATAGTCTTGCTGAGTTGCTCTATTGTCCAGCCTGGGATCAAATTTATGCCTTCTGCCTCAGCCTCCCAGAGTGCTGGGATTAGAGCTGTACACTACTACAACCAGCTCTGACTTTTTAAATCCCATGATCTAAATGCTGTGATTCCTAAACCACTTCCCACTTGGGAACCTTATAATTTGATGATCTTTAGCTCTGCCTTAACTATATATTTGACCAATTAATTCAAAGTGAATTAAACCTCTTAGAAATGATCTTGGTACTGTAGCATTAGAAATTCTTAGAATTTAGATCCCCTGAGTCCAGCCTGAGGCTGCCTGCCTTTAGCCATGGTGGCAGGAACACCTTTTCCAGATCTAGGATTACACTGTCCTTGGCAAAATCAGAGAAGAGACAAGTGGGTTTGGTGTTGCACACTTGCAATTCCAGCCACATGGGAGACTGAGGCAGCAGGATCATGAGTCTGAGGCTAGACAGGGTAACTTAATGAGGCCTTGTCAGAGAGAGGAGTGGAGAGGGGGAGGAGGAAGGAGAGAGGGAGAGACATACAGGGAGACAGACACTTTCCGTAAGCTAGAAAAGTTCCAGGAAGGTCTCAGACATACTCCTTAAGTGATTAACATACCTATATGCAGAGCTGTGGACTGATTTGACCCAAAGATGTAATAATGGATTCAAAATGAAGGTCAAGCTCCATATGAATGAGGGTCCTGTATCAAAGTAAAAATAAAAAATGCTGAGAACGGAGGTCAGTGAGAAGGCCCTGGGCTGTCCTCAGTCTGGGGGTGGGGGAGCTGTTTTACCTTTAGTTACCGCTGTGATTTAGATCTAAAATGTCAGAAGTCTCATGTGTTTCAGAGGGCCTGTCAGAAAAGGCGAGTCACTGGGATGTGAGTGACATGAATGGGTGTATTCGTGTTCCCAGCTCTTCTCTGCTTCCTGGCTGCCATGAAGTGAGCAGCTGTCTTCCACCAGGCCCCTCTACCACGCTGTTTGTGTTGTAGTGTCTGATTATGGACTGAGCCCTTTGAAACTGTGAGCGAAAAGAAACCTCTTCCTTAAGTTGTGGGTGTTAACTATTTTGTCCCAGTGATGGGAAAGTGACTAACGGTTACCTGTTGGCATCTGTAGGCCCAAATTCTTTTTTTTTTCATATATTTTTTTCTTTTTATTGAGTTTATTGGTACAATCTAGGTATACAAATACAGTTACATTCATCATTGGGATTCTGTACCTTTACATAATAGGTCTTGATTCTCATTTTTCCCCTTGTCCCTGCCCTACCTTCACCGCCTCCTCCCCTCCCCATTTACAAACACTTTATTTCCATTTTTTCAGTTTCTCATATTTTTTTCCTCTCCCTTATTACCTCTCCCCCACCCTTCCCACTTTCCTTACACCTTTAGCCCTTTACTTCCTATTTCACATTATTAATTGTCTCATTAGGATCCTGTGTACTATTATAGTTTTTCACACCAAAGAAACTATTCGGTATTTCAGTTAAAGAAATCTCTGTATGAACATTAAAAATAGGGAATCCTAAAATAAAACTAAAAAGGAAAGTAAAAGAGAAAAGGCAATGATGTAACATCAAAATAATCCTTAATTCTGGAGATGAAAATGGTCCCTGAA